GCGATCGCTGCGCTCCTCCGTCTCCTCGCCGTGTGGCTTTTTGGGGATGGCTGAGTCTGTTCAGTGCTGGCTTATCCGTGACGCCTTACCCTGAAGGTACTTCCAAGGAGGACTTGCCCAGTTGCCGGTTCAAAACAGCGATGGGATGAGTACTACTTGGAAATACTAGTAACGGGTTAGTCTGTCTCTTCTTTCCGAAAGTGAGCTTCTTGCCCCAGACCGCTTTGGGGATTTTTCAACTTCTGACTGAAAATATCCTTAGGGAAACAAAAAAGCCAGATAGATTAAAAGTTACAGAGATGGTGCAGCCCCGTGACAAAATGTTTGCTGGGGGCTTTCATTTTAAACTTGCATTCAAATCTTTTCATTAAAAAGAAAGGGAATTAAATACAGTATCTCGGTAGTAGAGGCTAGGAGAAGTATCTCCACCTTTTCGAAATTCCCGGACAGTGTGGAAAAGGAAGATTTGTTCACACTAATAAGGGTGAACGGTTTGGATGTTACAACACATCTTACACTTCAAAACCATTTAATTCCACTATATTTATGGGTGGATATTTTTTTGGTTGGTTTGTTAATGTTTTAGAGATTTAAGTTATGTCTTAACAGTTAAGTTCTTGAAGAGTTCTGATTTTTCTAAAAACCGAGAACAAAATACTTCCACGTTCTTTGGAAAATAAGAGTGGAACCAAAGAGAAAGCAACTATCAAAATAAAAATCATGTTCATGACTGTTGTCATTCTAAATCAATTTCTTGAGGTCAGACAAGAAGGGAATGTCATGTCAAGTTGCAAAATGGGAATAAGCGAACAAAAGATGTGAGCAACAACAACAAATTAGATTATTTTCTTTCTAATTATCTGAGACATAGACTTCTGCTTTGACCTTAACCCTCTAGCATGATCCCACTTTTTTCTTTCTCAAGTTTTATGTGTTCACAACACAAGTCTCATTTGTTCAGAACATACTTTCTGCAGTGTTGGTGATCTCCCAGCTGCAGTCGCTGCTGTAAAACTAGTGAGCATACAGAAGCCCGCTCCTCTCCATGATGTTGCAGTGTGTGAGTATGTCACTAGCTTTGCACTTCTGCTTTTCTCAAAGATTTTCAAACTTAGCATTCCCAGGGGGTTATTCCAGAACATATGTAGTTCTGGAAACTTTGCAGCATCCTTGTGCCACAGTCTCCACAGCATGGTTTGGGCAGTGCTAAGTGATACTTGTTAACCTCTTTCTAGACACAGGATAACTGGAATTATAATTATTAATAAAGAGGGTAGTACGTTCATGCCACCTGAAAAACTTATTGCCTGCTAAGGGTTGGAAGGGCTCTATAAATCAAGAGGAAAAGTTTCATAGAAGGCAACCTCTCTTTAGATTCAGGGACATACATCTGTTTGTAGGATATACAGTACAAAAGTGTCGGCAAGTGTAGTGATCTCTCAGAGAGAGACATTAAAGGGCTCTTTTTCTCTTCCTTGCCTTCCACTGCCACTAAACATCACTGTATCTGTCAGAAAACCGATTGCTTCCCACTAGGTATATAGATCTGCACTGTAAAAGTTCAGGTGTTTCCAGCACATGAAATACCTTACGTTTCCCTACTTTGCACAGGAGGCTTTCTGTGCTGTGTGGACAGGAACACACATGAGTCTGAGGTGATAGCTAGAAGGTAAAATATTTTTTGGTTGTATCATCACTTAACTGTGGCTTTTACCATTGTAAGCTGAAAAGTGTCATTGTCCCTGGAGCCATTTTGTGCCATCCTTTTGCATCATAGTCCTGCTGCTGTTAATCATTTGCTTCCCCAGTATAACGCCTTGCTCCATCCCCTGTGTTTGGTCTCTCTTACATCTATCTCACTGGCACAGCCTTTTAGGGTGGGCTGGGTCAAATAGACCAGACTGCCCTAGCCTCTGTCCTCTTGTGGCATCAGAATGAAATGCTGAAGAGCCTTCAGGCTGTGTGAGACGGCATGCTTCAACAGAGGGCAGTCTGCTTCGGTTGGCTTTAAAAAAGCTAACACTAACTTTTTAACCATCTCTACTGGGTTTGTGACATGATACAGGTTATTTACTGTTTCTCTGAGACTCAAATACTCAGATGTCAGTGCACTGATTGACAGACAGCCCATGTGCAAGGATGTGCAAGTTTCCTTCGTCCTCTTAAAAGCTAAACATTTTTCTCCCCTTCCTTTTTCCCATAAAATGTTAAGTTTAAATTTTGGGAATGGTATGGAAATATCTTGGCAGGGAAGGAGGGTATTTAGCTTTGCAAGCCAAATGATCCAGCCTATTTTGAATCCTCTGTGTGACAGGAAAAAAGTACATTCTCATATAAAACCTTCTTGCATACCACCACCTTCCCCTAACACCCACATTCCACCTGCTCAGGAGGCACTTGCTGTCCTGCTGCTGCCACTGGAAGCACTAAAATTAGGAAGCATCCCTCTTCCTGGAGAGGACTTCTGCTGTACTGGGAGAGTACTGTTAATGAACTCTTTTGAAATTCCTTCTCCCACTCCCTAAAAGTTTCTCTATATACTCAGAGCAATTTGTAAAGTTCCTACCCCCCTTGGTGGCCTGGCTCTGGTCCCCAGGATGCAGACATGCTGGAGACGATGCAGAGACTTGGCTGGAATGAAGTGTCTGCAGGTTTCTGGGCACTAGGGGGGATTCCTGCAGCGTTTCAGGTCAGTGCCACTTCTTGTGAGTGCACTAATTTGGATGCTTAGAAAATATATTTGGATACTTTCTCTTTTGTTTGGGTTTTGGTTTTTTTTGTAAAAGAAGAGTCTTTTACCATATAAAGTAATTTATTACACACCATAAAAATTAAAATTATGACCAATGCCAATGAGAAATTTAATACATTTTTCTTTTCTTTAGAGAAGACCATGATGAGCTTTTTGGCTCATTGTGAGCTACTCTTGAGCCAAGGACTGTCTTAGTTCCCTGTTCATTTGGACAGCACCTGTAGCAGTGACATTGTGGTGAGGTTTTAGGTGCTGCTACAATTCTGATAAATAATAACTGGGTGTGTTTTTGCCAGAGTACTGCTCTGCACTTAGGGATTTATTCAAGTGCAAATATCTCTTCATGAAGGTTCCCAGAGAAACCCCTGTGAACTTGCTTGCCCTTTTCTATTCTGTAAGCAACGAGTAAGTGAGGAGCTGAAGTGAGTAGTGCAGATTTCCAGCAAAGACTTGAACGGTTAGGGCTTACAGTCATAAGCTGGGGGGGGTGGGGTGGTTGGTGGCATTATACTGCACGTCTGCTGGGTGGGGTGATTCTTCACTATCTAATTCACTGAAGGCAGTACTGAAGTGTCTTATCCAGAGGGGACTGGTGTGAACTTGGCAGTGCTTCCTTCTGATACTAGCTTCATGGAAAGGAAAGCTAAGTGACTGCTGGTGTCTTTGAAGCTACTGTCCCTTGTGCTCTCTTAGCTGAATGTGGGCCTACAGGTTCTTTCTTATGAGGAACATGCAATTAGGAGATGGCTCTGTCTGCAGGATGATGAACTTCTGAAAAAAATAGAAAGCCAATAGAACAGGCCCCTATATAGAACACTAATGACTGTTTTCCTCAGATTTTAATGGGACAAGGATATAAACAATAAACTTTTTTTCTTTAAATGGGATCAGGCTTTGTTTCTCAAGGCATAAGGAGAAACAATTAGATGTGTCTGTGTACTGTGCAGACA